GCTTCAAACGAGAAATAGCTGTCCAGTGGCGGGCTGGATCGCGACTGATGTTACAGAGATTAACGCTAGTGGTGACACCAGGTAGTGACGCGTCGACCAAGTCGTCGCAGACCTCAAGATTTCACAAAAATACCACGGGTAGTTGTCATGTGCACTCGTCTATAATTTAGAATACCTTGCTGAGGGTGCCGTATAAGGTAACCTATTCAAAGTACAGAAGCTTTACTTCTAGGCCCATTATTGAAAGTGTTCATGTCCTAGGAGTCGGCACTTTACTGTGCGGAGGTCGTTGCATCAGATGCACTCTACGCTGCATCAGAGGTTGTTTCGTTGCCTGAACATCATCGCCAACGTGTCCCGTCTGTGCCGTTTGTGTTGGCTGATGGTATGGTTAGAAGTCAATGTCCCACTGTTTGGCTGACTGTCTGCGCCTCCTCCCAAAAAGACGCAGACATGACATGCATGCCGTCTATGTTGGCCGATGGTATCGTTAGCAGTCAATGTCCTACTGTCTGACTGACTGTCTGCGTCTCCTCCCAGGTGTGCTGCTCTCCAGCTCTGCTGCGGAGACCACCACGGTCACTTCTTAAGTCCGGCTGAATTATTGTCCCACTGTCTGGCTGACTGTCTGCGTCTCCTCACAGGTGTGCTGCTCTCCAGCTCTGCTGCGGAGACCACCACGGTCACTTCTTAAGTCCGGCTAAATTATTGTCCCACTGTCTGGCTGACTGTCTGCGTCTCCTCACAGGTGTGCTGCTCTCCAGCTCTGCTGCGGAGACCACCACGGTCACTTCTAAAGTGGACGGCGTCGCCGGCAGCAACGTCGGCGAGGACGAGCAGGGGACGGCGGGGGGAGCGGCCTCCGGGGAGGACACCGGGACCGGGGGAAGCGCGGCCGCCGGGGAGGACACCGGGACCGGAGGGAGTGCAGCTGCCGGGGAGGACACCGGGACCGGAGGGAGTGCAGCTGCCGGGGAAGACACCGGAACCGGAGGGAGCGCCGGTGCTGATGGGGACATCGGAACCGGGGGGAGCGCTCAGGAGGAGAGTGCCGGAGGCGACTCCGGGACCGGAGGGAGCGTCGGAGTTGAGGCGCAAGCTGGGGCCGCGGGAGGCAGCGACGCGGGGGGAGCGGGCATCCAGACGGACGTGCAAGGCGAGGCCGCCGGAGGGAGCGACGGACAGGACATGGCTGGTGGTGGGCAAGGAGGAGGGTCAGCCGAGGAAGCGGGCGACGAAGGCGAAGAAGGGGAGGGTGAGAAGGCCGGCACTGGGAAGCGGTCAGTGGACAGCATGCTTGCCGACGCGAAAAACAAGGCGAAGGGAATGCTGGATGGTCTCAAGGGCAAGATGAAGGAGCAGATGGATAAGTTCAAGGCAACGATGTGTGAGTACAGCGTGCATTGTCAGGCCAATCCCTGTTGGTGGCTCAGCCTGAAAAGATCGTGGTTATTATGTAAATAATTAGAAGTAGTGTCATAGGATCAATGCTGATGCTTAAAATTCAGATGCAAGGTGTGCTTGAAATCAGTTTACCCGTTACAACACGAATGCAGTTCTAATCTTTTTTTCGAGGTTGTCAAGGAAACCTTAAGTTCTATGTGGGTGGGCTCAGTTTTAATTGTGCATCGCCTTATGGCCCTCCAAAAGAGTCTCATGTTCCTCGATTCATCAATCCGCCAGAAGGGCTGGAGCCCCTCTAAATGGGTTCGTCGAGGGGCATCCAGCCCACTCGGCCTAGACTCCCGCAGGAATGCCGTGCCGATGGCCTGCGTGACAAAATTCATCAGAGCTAAAAACACGAAAAGCCAGTTAATAACACGAAGACGGCGCATCAATGCGAGACTGATTATTCTCGGTTCTGAGACGTTTCCACTACGAAAAGCTGTTGGCGCGGCGGAGTTGGTTCAAAAGGAAGATCCTTACTCGATTATTTTGTCGGATAAAAATCGTCCGCCAGCCTGTCGCAGCGTCAAAAAATGGCACACGCCCTAGACAAGGCCCGCCTCAGCATCCATCAAAGCGCGTGCCTGCCAGCGTGCCGCCACACACAGCAGCGCGCCCTAGCAACCGCCGCCGTCACCGTGACCCCTACCCCTGGCGCGGCCTCAAAGGCGCGCGTGACCCAGCTCCCGCCGCCGCCAAAGCCGAAGCCGACAGGAATTAACTAATGAATACGAGCGTGCCGTGCTGACACCCGGTGGGGCGGCCGAGGCCGGACGGCCCCGCGCCGGGCGGGTCACGTGACCGGAAGGCGGACAATGCGGCGGCGGCAGCGCGGGTCGCGGGTCGCGGGTCCCCGTCGTCGCGGCCCGCGGCGCAATTACCGGGCCGGCACCGGCTTTGTTTGATGCCGACCGAAACGCATCGATGCGCCGCGGCCCTGGCGGCGCGCGCTCCGGCCAAATCACGACCGCGAATGGGCTCGGCGGGTGTGGTGGCGCCGCCGGACCGCGGTCAATACAGACTGTCAACCGGCCCGGCGGTCCTCGGACGCGGTGCTGGCCGGTGGACGCGCTGGTGACACGCTGTTGCGCTGCCTAGTCCGCGGGCGTGGTGCTGGCCCGCTGGCGTAGTACGTGCCCGCAGGCGGGGTGGCGGCCCAGGGGCATGCCGCCGGACCTGCGGGGGCGTGGCGTTCACATGAGGGCACTGTTTTGTCATGCCATTTTACTGGTCAGCACACGTCATAAAGAGCCACGGCAATGTGTACCTCCGCGTAGTCATTCGGTAGATCCGGGGGCTTTGTAATGGCCGCGACGCTTGCACAAGGGCTGGTCGTCCCACACAAGGGCCGGTCGTCCCACACAAAAGTGCGACTCATGTAGCAGCCACCAAAGCAAATGCAACCTTTGTCAATGTGGTCTTGTGAGCGCACTCCTTGCAATACCATGAAAATTCCAAAAGTGGCACGTGACGCGCGTTCGTGCCGTTGTTCCCGTTCCACTCGTCTGCACCAGTATCTAGGTCAGCATGCCTAACCCCTCCTTACGTGCTGTCAAATCATGTGTCCACGAGCGGCGCAATCGCTGTGCAATGCACAATGATGTAGAATGTCCGGCAAACATGGCATCGCGCTGCCTCCCGCAACAGCAATGCATCAGGCGAAAGGAATGTAGCGTCGCCACCCGCTGGCGAACGTTCCAGAAACAGTGGAAGTGACGCAGACGCGTGTCGATTGATGCGTACAAGTAACGGCGACGTGGCCGGTGCTGGTGACGACTTCCTGAGACGTTGCATCACAAGACCGTGGCAATTCGCTACATTTTTAAAGACGGGCAGTCTGTCCTAGAAGCAGCGTCTTGATTGGTATGGCTTGTGCTTAACTGTGATCGTTGGTCAATGGCGAATGCCGATGACGCGTAAAGTTGCGCCTCTACCCGAATTCTACCCTAATTCTACCCGAATTCTACTTGAATTCTACGACTTCGAGTGGCACATATATCTCCGCGTAGTGAGTGATGCAAATACTGGGAAGGCATGCATGCAAGGTATGCTGACAATTTAACAGCTCGATACCTCGTCACTTTCCGTAAACAGCTAGAGCCGCCGTAGAAATATGTGGCCTGCCCAGGACCTCGATGTTGTCACTTGGGATCCAACAGCCGGCGGTCCATTGTGCGATAATGGCGCTCCACGTTACATTGTGGAACACGTACAGTGCACCAGAAAGAGCAGCGGTGCCAGCCGACCTCTGACGTCATATTTGCAGACCGCATTACAAATGCATTTGCGGCCCCTGAAATACGACTGAAGTGAAGGCGTAATCTATCGCCGAGGCCGCCTCGGATGGCGTTGCTGCGTGGGCTCCCTCGATCGACACCCGGCGGTGACGTCAGGTCACCGAACCGGGGTGACCCCTCGTGGCCCGTTGCCAGCTTAGTGCCGCGGTGCAGCGTCGTCTGTTCGGAACAAGCGCCCATGCCGACACGCGATCTCTTTCCCATAAAGACGGCGGCGCCGCATGCTGGCGCTTGTCTGAAACATTAGCGGGCGCGAACAAGGAGGGCCACGAGCGCCCCATCAACAGCACTGCTCCACGGGCTGTGGTGTTCCGCTGGGCCGACACGCGTCTCTAGTTCTTTGTCTCTTTCTCTGCCGGCAGCCAGCAGCACCAGCTTTCACTGAAAGGATACTATACTTGCTTCTATACTTGATCCTATAGTTAAAAGGATCCTCCACTTTTTATTGAAAGATGCTTGCGGGGGCAATCTCGTCGCACCGACGATTTTATCGGCGTTCTCCTTTCGATAGCGTGATAAGCATGTTTAGCAGATGCCATGACGCACTTGACTCGCAAGTCGGCCACGCGGTGCTTCCGACTCGAGCCCAGACGTCTGTTGCAACCGTGACAGACATCTGTGTGCCGGTCAGTGCTTGGACAGATTGCGTTTGGTTATTTGGCGTGCTGGAAATAGTAAAAGCAGAGGCTAAACCATCTCTTTTCACGCCTGCAGCGAATTGGTCGGACAAGTGAGTACAAAGCTGAAACCAAGCATATAAGAGATCGCGCTACAGCCAGGACATTATCCAACCCACTGTTGGCGTGTTCTAAGGCAACGTTGCACTCGGTGCACAGCTAGTAGTAATATGAGATTGTTAAACGTGTTATGTGAATAACTGACCGCGTGGAATGCTATTTCTAGGTACGGTACACTTTGAGGGCATCGGAAGTTTCCTTTCTGTTTTGATCGAAAGTTTATACATTCAGTATAACATGTGGCACGTGTAAGGTTTTGGGTTATTTCGGTAGCTCCGAATGGAGGCAAAATGTGCGCATGAATGTTGCTTTGTGTAACACTAGTCGTATGATAAATCGTGTACAGCTTAGGATTCACACATTGCGAAATGCATTTATCCCATAAGTCCGCACTAGTAGCAACTGCTGTTCAGTTGCTAAACCGTGATCCATGTGGACAATGTCGGCAGAATGAAGAACTCCTTCTCAAGCCTGAAGCAGAGTATCAAGGACAAGATCAATGGGGGTAACGTGACGGCTCTGACGGACGCGGAGATTGATGAGCTGTCTCTGGACAACATGCGTACGCTAGCGGCGGTAAGTGTCGCCCAAACTCTGCCTCGTCTCTGGGTGAGCTCAGTTGTTGTAGGCCATGTTGCACAGCTGATGATTTTGGTGGGGATTTAAGCCAGGGCACCCCTATAGATGAGCGATGGGTATTAAGTTCAGCAACATAACTAACAACACTAGCAGGAGTTGTGGCAAGGGTCGGGTGGCAGTGGTATCACTTCCTGTACTTAAATATTTCAAATCTGTTGGCGAGGGGGGAGCCCGTAATGCATCCGAAAGATTACATTCGCTTCGCTTCGTTAAATCTGCGGCAATGTACCTGAATATCTCAGATGGATAGCCACGGCGAACAGTCACGTAAGACGAACAAAGTGATGCGCGAGGTTTCGTGCATGATTTTACCCACCCGAGAAATGCAATCTTTTACCATTTTACCCACCCGAGAAATGCAATCTTTGATAAGAAGCTTGTCGTTCTTGTACGCCCTATCGCGTGGCCGTTTGTAATCTTGAGAGGCAATGCTGATGGAGACTTCGGACCCTACACATGAGGAAGCGTGACAATGGTGATTGGCATATGAAGTGCTGACACTGCCTCCCAGAATAGTGAGGTGTTTGATTGGCGTATGAAGCGCTGACGTCAGCACTGCCTCTCTCAATGGCGAGGTGTTTGATTAGCATATGAAGCGCTGACGTCAGCACTGCCCCTCTCAATGGCGAGGTGTTTGATTGGCGTATGAAGCGCTGACGTCAGCACTGCCCCTCTCAATGGCGAGGTGTTTGATTGGCATATGAAGCGCTGACGTCAGCAGTGTCTCGAGGTATTGCAGAGTGAAGGTTAACATCGTCTGAGTGTAGCCTTCAGATCAGATTTGATTTGGTCCGCCCGGTCTTTATCCCCCTCTCTTGGTGCCTATGCGGGATGAAGCCAAGCGCAATGTGATTGCTATCCGAAAATACCGACAATTGCTGAGCCTCAGAACAATCATTGGGGAAGCGAAGGCAATATGTTATCGAGAACACTTGCTGAGCCTCAGAACAATCATTGGGGAAGGAAAGGCAATTTGTTCTCGAGGACAATATATTGCTATTTTGATTTTTAATTTATTGCTTTTTTACTTTTAGCCAAATATTGAGGTGGTCGAGACAGGTGTCAACAGACGGTGGGAAGGGCAGAGGAAGACCAAGGACCGTCCAACATGACAAAGTTTCGTCCGTGATAAATGGGACAATTCTAAATCAGCCATGGCCGTGATTCTGGCGTAAGGCTAGTGGTCAGCCGAACGACATCAGCCCATACGTCGTTGCTGAAGCGATGGGAAGACGTGACAAAACATCGCATGTAGCGTAAAGCCTTCTGTTTTAAGCCTTGTGTTGCCGTTTCTGCTGTTTCCTGTAATGTCCCACTGTTCCTGTAATGTTCCTGTAACGTCCCACTGTTAACGCTGTTCAGCAGGGTTGTCTCTGTGACTGAACAGCGATGCAGATTTCGTGGCCCAGCTTTCGCGCTTCGTTCTGGACTCGGAATCCAGCGCCAACGAATACTAGTCCCCGAACGGACGCGGGGCTGTCTGGCGCGGGAAAGGTCGCCTGGAAGCTGAGCACAGAGGGCAACCGGGCCCGGGGCGGCGGCGTTACGGGGCTGAGCAACGTACAAAACTCCGCAGTCCTCTTCGGAAAAGTCTGGGGCGAATACCTCTGAAAATTGGTGGACTCGTGAGGCGTGTTCTGAGTACCCGCAACAAGGTCCTCTTAACAGATACTCGGTCCTGAAAGACACGCATATAAACCATGGGTGTCTTTACGATGCCTTGTGAATGCCTTGAGATTTTCATAGCATGCTATCCATTATGTATGTTATATTGCATCATGTTATATATTTTTCACAAATTTCAGTGTGATATGAGGTATCCATGTTTCGGCACCAAGTGGTACAGATTTTTTCCGGAACGCCTGCCGACTGATAATCGTCAAAAAGTATGCATGTTTAAATGATAATACCCGGGTTGAGAAGGAAAGGCGCTTTGGAATACTTTGCTCCAATTTAGTATGGTTGAATCCAGGCATCGCGGAAAATCCAATTGCAAATAACGTGTTGTTCACAGAGCACATACACCTACGTTCTTAGAATGGTCATAAAACAATGTGATCTGCAAAACTCAATCCTGCTTTCCTAACTTGCTCGAAACCAATCCTCGGGGCCAACATATGACATCGCATGCAGCAGCTACTGAACTCAGAGACGCTAGCTTCCAACCTGCTAACGTCAGCCTTCCAAGGACTCATGAGTTCGCAGGGAGCAATGGACGCGTTATGGCTCGTCTTCTCCATCCCCCTCCCGCCCCGTCCCCGCATATACCTGTGTCTGTGTCTGGCAGGGGAGTCGGCTGGAGGTGATGACTCCTTCGCAAAAGGCCAAGTTCTTTGCACGCTTCAAGGCGGGGAAAGACTCGCGAAGCATGCAGAAAGTGTTGGACAGAATGGAATTCGACACAAGAAGCCAGTTGCTAGACAAGTTCAACGAGGTCAACGCCGAGCTGGGCAACGACGAGGTCAGCATGATGATCCCCCGCGTCTTGAGGCTGGCTAACATCGGGGTCATGACCCGCCAGAATGCCCTAGGCATGAAACTGGCCGGGTGCTGCCACGTAATGAGGGCGCAGAAGCTTCTGGGAAGGTAAAAGGATCACATATTTTTGAAAGGGGCAAGTACATCTGCCAGGAACAAGCACCTCAAAGTTCTGGGCATCCACGTTGGAAATCTGAAACTCGTTGGCGGTGTAAACGCGCCGACGAGCTCGTTACGTTAGATGAGTGCATAGTTCTGGGTCTGGAGTGCTAGTTCTGGGTGTGACCGTCCTGTGCGAAGGAACGCCCGGACCGTGCATTTAACGTCATCTTACATATGACGTCATCTGTTCCATATCTTCAGCCATGACGCAACCTGATCGCCCAAAAGTGTCTTTCGTTTACTGACTGGCGTCAAAGAGGCTATCATATCAGCATCGTCGTCACAGTGTCCATGGAAACTGGTCGACAGATCGTGATATTCCCTTTATCCCTCACATGGTGAGTTAGTGTAAGCGTCATGGACTGTGAAGAAACTCTAGATCATTCCAGAAACGAACCGTGACCTCCATTTTTTCCCTCGCTCTCGCAGGCGGCAAAGAAAATGCTGGCGATGTCAGTGATGGATAGGCTTGGCGACGCGCGCAATTGGTCACTCGCGGAGGTCAACAAGATGAAGACGGTCAAGGTCTTTTCCCGCATCCCACCTGCCAAGCTAATGAGAATCAACAACACCGCAATCCTCAACACGATGTAAGTTGGGTATCTCCCGAGTGATTGGGTGAGAAGCCGACATCAGAAACATTGTGACGAATTGTGGCTTCCTTGAACATTAAGTCTGTGGATGGCAGCTGCAAAGTACGCCGCCTGCGAGCTGAGTGAATGTGAGATCGGTACCGAGTTACTTTACACGCTGCGTTACATAATGGGTCGCGGTTTAGTGGTCTCATGTTCTCAGTACCATTAGTGTTGCTATTGGCTGAACCAGAAGTGTGACAGCACTCCATAGAGTGTCAGAACGAAAATAACTTACGAACCGGTGACCCCTCATCTTACCTCACATATTCTGACCTTACCTGACCTGACCTCTGACTTCGTCACCGTACAGCCTGTATTTGGCTTGACCTTTTTATCTCGGGCAGCAAAACTCACACGCTTTGTTCAATACTTCAACACACCAGATTGCAAGATTTAAATGGTCTCGGTGCATTTTTGCTTAATCAGATGAGGGCAAGTGAGGTAACAGTGCTGAACAAATACCGAATTTGCATCTGCTTGTGATTGGAATGGATAAACACCAGGCTGGGAGTGAGCAGAGAACAGCTCCAGGGCCGTGTCTCTAAGACACTGTTAACGCGTTGGTGAGCAATGAAATGGCACCGTGCCTTGAAAACGTCTTGAAATCCTGACAGTGAATTCAGCTTTGAAAATTGACACTCATTAGCAATGAAGCAACAGTACAAGAATGTAGAACGCACTCTCACAAGTGTCACACTGTCAAGAAATAGAGCGCCTTAAGCCCATGACAGCTATTTCAGACAATGTATCTGGGTACGAAGCACAGTTGCTGTACTCATGATTGGCGAGAAGCAGCGTTAACATTATTGGGAACTCGCTGACGTATAACATCGATGGACGTGTCTGTCGCACCGCACTCTGAGCTGAATACCGACGAAGGCAATCAGGGAGGCCAATAGCAACGCTTTCGCTTCGATTTTAATGCTCCTGCGGCTCGATAAGCAACATTCGTAACATCAGAGTGGCTTACCCTAGGGAAAACTAACGGCATGATTAAATGTCCAGTGTCCCCAGCCCGATCCTGGAAAGTGGTCACGTGACCTGCCTGTCTGACGTCCATTGGTGCAGTTCAACCAATGAATCATGTTGGGCGACTCTTTCACTCGTATTCCCACGCTGACACCCCTATAAAGACCGCGCGGGCCGTCCGTTGAGAAGACTTGGCCGCAAAAAACCGTCATAGGCGACGGACCTTTAAACATCCTGCTGAACCAAACAGCGAATCAACTGAGTGGATCAAATATTTAACTGAAAATCATAAACTTAAAGTTAAACGCTGCGCCGAGTAACTAACTGAAGTAAAAGCGGATTCACGTCGAAATGAGAACTCACATGCGTGATTGAGCGCAGCGGACGAGTCATTTGAACCACTGGAGTCGGTATGGAATGGAATCGGTATCAGTAATCGGTATGGAATCACCACTGTACGGCAGTTTTCCTACTGGTGTCACGCGGACAATATGGACAGGAGTCACACGGCCAGCACACCGCACAGAAGAAGAGGATATCATTCCGACTGCCACCATCTAAAGGGATTCATTCGATGGGCCTCCGCGAGCAGAGGGATCATTCATTCGATGTTCCCTAATTCACGGGACAGCGTCGCTTGTGATGGCGTCCGAGCGGTGTCCAATTCGCCTGCTTGTAGAAGAAGCGTTGCCAGCGAGGACAAATGGGCTTCGCCCGGCTCCTTTGACGACAGACGAACCCGAACATCAACAGTTCGTCCGTGGAATGGCAGCCCATGCCAGCCTGATCCACGGCCGGCGCCGACCAGCGTTCCAAAATTCCTCGAGTGGGGTGCGCAGGATGTAAATATAACTTCATGCTACCAGAACCCTCGCTCTGCGGCGGTTCCTGCGCGCAATTGGCTTGGCTAATCCGTTGACCTTTGACTCCGACTCAGACATCTGACCTACTCGGCCCATTTTTCAAGCCTGAGGGGAATGGGCACTTGCTAGGCTACCGCTTCGTTGGATGCTGTTCAGCCGATTTTGAACAAGGAGAGGGGCCACAGGCAGTGAACCCAAAGTCGGGGTGTTATAGCATGGCAAATATCGACATCCTTGCCACTCAAGTGGCCGGATACTGGAACGCAGGCCACGACAGGCGTCAAATTCTGGCGATGCCTCTGAGGTTGGGTCGGAGGTCGGAAGGACCATTCTTGTGCCACGGTGATGTCTACGCTGTTGATCATGACCTCCTTGGCTCCTTTCATTTTGCGCGTCAGTTTTAAAGGCCCGCGATTTTGTTTGCAGGCTCTTCACTTTCTTACTTTGGGAGCTACCCCCTGAGGACAGCGCTTGGTTTGACAGTTGACAGTTGACAGTTGGATTCTCAGTTCTTTGGTCTCGTAAATCTGCATCGCCCTTAATCTGTGGATGCTTATACCCTTCAGTATTATCATACTCGGACTACAGCTACCCGCCGTTGGGCGTAAAATGAGCTTCAGGAATTCAATAACGAGAACCTCTCTTCAATGGAAAACACCCGTGGACAACACCAATGTTTGTACATGCTCAGTTTGCATAACATCAATCTTCGTATCCTTCATGAAATTGTGTCGCCTGCATCGACAAACTGCGACCCTTAGGAACAATATCCTTTATGTTCAGAGGCGATAGAACAGTCCAGTTGTCCACGTAAGCTTTCACAAATCGCATTGACACAGGTTTTAATACGTCGCTAGGATCACCACTTGAGGACGACAAATGGGACATTGCGGGCCTGGTTGTGCAGTTGTCAAAGTGCCTATGTGCAGGGGCATGTACGTGACAAGTCATTGCCCAGGCCGTGGACACATAAATCGGCTGCACGAGATCGGTTCGTAGAAAGCCTGATGTCGCTTCGAAAACATCTTCAGTGCAATTCCAATAGGTCAAAATGCAAAGATCCAAGCATTATAATTTTCAACACAAATGTGAATAGGTTGATTGCCCGACCATCACTACCCGCCCGCTCCGCGAACCCCAGCGCCGTTTCCGAGCAATACGGCCTGTTCGCTTGGGCCGGACGGCGTTGGTTGCCAGTGCGGCGGGTTGCCAGGCAGCCCTTGTCTACATTCGCCGTGCTTCGTCGCCGTTACGTCCGTCGCCATAACAAACAATAGGCGGTCGCGGTGGTCGATTTCGTGGACTGCCGTCGCTCGAGCCGATGCCGTCGTCGCGCGACGTTATGACTGGGCCCGAAAACGGCGCATGCGGCTCGAAAGCGGCGCACACGCGGCGTGACGTGACGCCGCACTGGCGCGGTGGCCGATATCGTTCCACCAAGGTCACGTGATGCCAGGGAGGGGTGCAGGAGCAATTGAAAGGGTATGACTCTCACATTCATTCACTTGTGTGCATCGCCAGACATGGCTGCAGTATATCAGCATCGGCATGCCCTTGAGGTTAAATTTTCGCTATAAATGGAGCGCCCAGCTCACTTGACCCTCACTGTTCCCGCACCTTTTGTCACCAGATGTGTCCAGATGTCACAGCTAGATCACACGGACCGTTTAGATGGGCCGTAACTGTGTCGACACGGCGGTGCTCGGGGTGGTCCTCCCGATCGTTGTCCTGAGCTTTGAAAAAATGACGTCATAAAAATATAACTCCATAAAATATGGTGTCAGCACTTAGTAGGTACGGCAAACTGGTTATGCCGGTTTCTATGACTCACTTTTCCGTCCAGCTTAGATAATTTATCCAATTTTGACCATGCGCTCGGTCAAAATCACAACTTTGCCCTTCGTGACCTAAATCAACTTCCTTGCGAGAACCGTTACTGGTCCTTGGCTGAGCTTCTTAATTATACTGCGTGGAGCCCCGTTACTGGTCCTTGGCTGAGCTTCTTAACTGTACTGCGTGGAGCCCGCGTGTGGATTCTGCGCACTTACACTGGTGCACTCAGGTGCACTCTGGTGCACTCACTCTGAGTACTGCGCACTCAGATGCTGCGAGTCGCTTATGCTGCGCAAGACCTTGATGTGCTCGTCTCGTTTCAGATCAAAGCCCTCCAAATCCCAGCTTTATGCCATGCAGCCCGGAATGCGGAAGAATTGGGCGGTAAGTCCGACCTGGAAATAAAACGGAATTCCCATAGGCATTGGCTCAGGCCATAAGCCCAGGTAAGTGGGCTTCACTAGTGTGCGAAGTGCGTCAGTTTACGCTGCAGTGTATAAACAAGACAATGTGCAAGGCAGGCTGGGAGCAACAGTTTCGTAGTCTTTTTGATAAGCAGCACCTCCCTCCCCCACCAAGGAACTATCTCAGTGAATTTCAAGGATCCCGCTACTCATGCCTGATCAAAGCCCTCCAGAAGTACATGCGTCAAGGTATATGCGCTGTACGCTGTTCAAACACTCTCCGTGCCGCAATTTACCCTGCGCCAGAACAAGTCTCAGCAGCGAGTGTTGTCATACTGAGACAAGGAAGAACATGTAAGGCTCCTTTTGACATGGGCTGACACCTTCACACAGGTTCAAACATTCACAGGGTCACACACAGTCACACACTCATGCCGCGCAGTGCTTTTCGCACTGGTAGGGTAAGAGGACTTATCATATTGGAACCGTATTAGCTATCACTATGTAGGATGTGTAAGCGCTGGATCAAAACCTTGCACACGTATATAGGCTTACACGTCTACACAAGCTCATGCGTTAACATAAGCCTTCACACTTACACAAACTTACACAGCTATATAAGACTGTGGAAGCCTGGACCCTTATGCAGACATATCCGTCACCACGGTTGACATATCCGTATCCACGGTTGAGGCAGACATATCCGTCACCACGGTTGACATATCCGTATCCACGGTTGACATATCAGTATCCACGGTTGACATATCCGTATCCACGGTTCAGGCAGACATATCCGTCACCACGGTTGACATATCCGTATCCACGGTTGAGGCAGACATATCCGTCACCACGGTTGACATATCCGTATCCACGGTTGACATATCAGTATCCACGGTTGACATATCCGTATCCACGGTTCAGGCAGACATATCCGTCACCACGGTTGCACCACGTAATCTCTGACGTCGCTTGCGCTGTAAGCGCATGTGTCTTCCGGCTGCGTGCAATACGATCGTGTAAGACTGTGGAAACGTCCGATTGTCACAGGCTCTGATCGCGCACATCGAGAACGCATCACTGCCGAGCAAGGACTGGACATCCAGCAAGATCCAGTCGCTGCAGCACGTGCTGGGCAGCATGCCTTTGGACATGCTGAAGATGCTGCGGGACGCCCCGCTGGCGCAGGCGTTCAGCTCTGCCCCTGCCTCGGATACGGTGAGGTGGTTTCTGCGGCGCTACCCGACGGGGTGACATTGTATGCGAGATTATGATCCATTAACGCCCCACGCGGTAGGCAACCCGTCACACAGTCATGACATGACCGGCTGCTGCCGGCTGGAACTCGAGTCACGGAGGACTGGACAGTACTGTTTCGCCCCACGCTGCGTTAAAGAGACTCGATGTGGTACAGCGTGTTGGCAGCTGGGCAGGACAAACCGGCGTCTCGCTATTGAAGAGTAATTCGATGTTTTGTGCTTTTTGTTTCGTATTTTAAAGTAGTGGCTGATCTCTGATTATGGTTGTTCTCGATCAGCCTGAACCCCGAGTATCTGATAGGCCGTTTAAGCTCAAGCCGAGTTCCGGTAACGGTAAACGACCATTATGCTCGCTGCCTTTGCCGCCCACGTGATCACCGGGCAGAATGCCGGGCATGCAGCCTCTGTCGAACGGCAAAAGGCTTGGGCCTGTCTAACCACAATGGTTCATCACAGGAGACGGCTGCAGAGGCTGAGGTAAACCCGCTGGTCTCTGAAGGCACACACTGACCTGCGCCATATCTCCAGTCGGCATTCGCCGATGTTTTGTACCTTTTTGTGCGGCGTCGTGTTTGCGAATTTTTATTTGTGAGTAGTGGCAGCATTTTCATGAGCGTATTTTTACCCCTGTTTTTATCCTGCCAGAGATTTTTGGCCAGGCCAATGGCGTCACGTGAAGTAGTCGAGTGCGTTATCGATGCCCTGCCGAAAGCTGCCGGCTGTAAGGGACTCCAGACCTGCATCCGGGTAGCAGAGGCCTCCTTTGTGCCGATGCCTGCGCTCCCGGGTGCCTGTTCATCCGGGCAGCAAAAGCCTCCTTTGTGCCGATGCCTGCGCTCTCGGGTGCCTGTTCATCCGGGCAGCAAAGGTCTCCTTTGTGCCGATGCCTGCGCTCTCGGGTGCCTGTTCGTGCAGCTGTACACGCTCCGGAGGACCTTGAGCGCTGTCTCGTCTTGGCGCGATTATCGCCACCTGCAGTCTTGACGTCAAGTGTGATAACGGCGTTATGACGTGCTGTGTTAGACCTGTGCATCTCAAGTGAGATGTTTTGACGGATCACGGCGGTAACATCTGGCACTTATTTTGATCGGCACCAAATGGTTCCTGAAATGCTTGAAGTGATAGTGCTCATACATTTTACGTAAAATACCATTGCTGGGAATAATGCGGCTCGCATTTAAGACAGACAGCTGTTTCAGTAGGTTTGCCATAGCCAGGAAGCCGGTCTGTGACGTCCGCGGTGCCTGCGTGTTTTTGTCGTCACCTTACCCGGCCCCATAAATCAGTATGTCCTCGCCGGTAATAGCCCAATGCTGCCCCGGCACACTGAGTGCCTCACAGCTGCGGTACGCCGCAGGGCTCGGACTCAACCGAAGAGGTAAAGCGCTCGCTGCCTGCAGAAACTTACTTTTCAGTTTTGTGGCCTAGAGGTAATCGGTAATTTACCATTGCCTGACATATAGTTTGTAGACTTTCGTAGTGCGCCTAGATTTCCGGCGGTAAGTCGGGTGTTTTGCACAACGCATGCCTTTTCATGCAGACTGCTGATCTGCCACCGGGACGGCAGCAGCAGCTCAAGACTGGCACAGTCCGGTACATACAGTGAAAACCGTTCCATCCTCAGCTTTTGTAAAGTGATACTAGATTTCACGCCTAGACTTTTTCGCCTAGTGCGGCTTAGTAGATTTTTACGTTCTAAAGGCGAGATGCTGTATTATCATAGATGGGTGTAATCAACCGTCCTTAACAGCATAAAAGCATTTGTATCCCCCAATAAAGCACTGAGCGCGCAATTGCAGGTAATAATGATTCACCTGCACTCTACGGAGCCGTAAACTGGAACGGCTTATGTCCGATAATGCGTGCTGTGTGTTTAACTTTCATAGCGCACTAATGACTCAAGTGAAGATTGACGTCCGCAGTAAACATTGCACCGAATCCAACCACTAGTTCGTTACGAATAACACCTGCGGCTGATTGTACCTGTAGCTGGCAGTGTGCCAAGTAACCCTTGACGTGCGCAGGCTGCGCTGTGTCTTGATGTCACCGGTTAGCTGTTGGTCGCAATCATCAGCCACGCCTCTCCCTGCTCCTGCGACTAGATAACATGGGGCGTGCTGCGGGAAAAAAACAGCAGATTGCTAGATTCTAGCGCAGCAGAGAGAAGGAGGTACGGCGTGAGATGGTGAAGCACTGAGTTTGGCGACCTCGAAACGTTTTTTTCGCACCTGCCAACTGCCTCAGGAAATACAATGAAACAAGGGCGATCGCCATTTGCGGTTTACATAAACGCACAATATCAAACCCCTCAATGGATAGTTGCTCTCATACGGCTTGTTTTTACGTACACCCTACTCCGTGTTTACATAGCAGGAAGTCTCTACATCATACGAGAAACACATGGCTTGTAGCTCTGAATTGACCGAAGGAATTTCGGGGCCCCGCAATTCCTTCGGTAATTTCGGGGTTCGAAAACCATGTCCAATGTTGCCGGTGTGCTCTGATCGTGTGACAGCGCTGGCCCTGACCTCAGGTAGCCGACGGCGTGGATGAGGTAAAGAACACATCAGCTGAGGCCACCAGGTGGCCTCAACGGCACCTTCTTGTTGTCACAGTTCCATGTGTATTCTGTAGATTGAGTAGCTAGTGCGTTTTTGACAGTAGCTCTAGTTGTTCCCTGGCAGCTAGCCCAGTAGAAGAATAGTGAAGCTGCAGAGTTTTTTCCTGTCGTTGGGCGATGTCTCGTGCAAACAGACATCAGCGAATGCAGCCGCGCACTGCCGTGCCCTAGCTAGAGTTTGACATAGCTCCGCGCTTGAACGGGCTGGCCGCTCGGCCTGGGTGCTCTGTCGGCCTGTGAGTCGTCTCCGCGTCTGCCCTACGACGTTTGTTGGTGTATCGCTGCTTTCGACTCGAGCGTCGTACCTCGCGTAGTCCGGTCACAGAAACGGGTCACGCCGCCGTGACCTCTGCGTGACCTGCGGCCGGCTTAGTGGTAGAGGTCACGCAGCTCGTGAGCAGCTTGTCACCAACTGGTCCGACTAGCAATTAACATTAGTACATAGGTACTCTATGCAGTCAAGGAACGCATTGAATAATTATTTGCAGAGGTGTAAGACGACGCGTCTAAAAAAAACTAAAGCGCATGTGGTAGAATAAAAGGGCAGTGATCCTGCCCCGCATAGATCCAATTGTAAAAGAGCCTCCGCAACACGCTGTACGTTGCTTGTCATATAACGTGACTGTTGCAGTGCGTGCCGAAACATGCAGGGTTTTTTCGGAGTTACATCGTTTATCTACGAATTTGGACCTTTTTAGGGTTCACCTGTACCAAATGAGTGCGGCCCACTGAATGTCACGTTTTACAACCGATGTTTGATAGCTTTTTTTCCGTTTAGGTGCTGTGAGACTGATATTTTTGACATTTTCTTGCTGCACAATGATAACACACGCTGGCCAGGGCGTGCGTCTTGGCGTCAGACAGTGTGTCTTGGCGTCAGACCATATGTCCCTACGTCAGACCGTGTGTCTTGGCGTCAGACAGTGCGTATAGGCGTCAGACAGTGCGTCTTGGCGTCAGACCGTGTGTCTTAGCGTCAGACAACAAACCCGAGAAGTGGTCATTATCGCCCAGCCTCCTCCCTCTTCTGCAGATGTATGACCCTGCCCAAGCCAAAGTGCTCCTGGATAAGCTTGTTAGCGAGTTCAAAAGGACAACGACCACGCCCAGTCCGGCAGCAGTCAAGACATTCGTTACCAGGTAGCGAAAACGGCGCGTGGTCCGCGTCAGGACCACGGAAGATAACTGTGCTCCCCCGCGGTCGCCGTGGATTATGTGTGTTCAGTAGCTTACAACGCAGTGTCAGAGCCGGCTGCCCCTTTGGGCTATGTCGTTGATAACGTCTTTCGGTGTGTGATTTAGTGTTTTAGGGCGCGTCGACACCTGGGCCATTTCGCGCCCACTCGATGACGGTTGTCGATATTTGCAATGTCACGCTTTAAATGTGCTGCCAACTAATAACAGGGTGTCACTGGTGCACTTACACTGAGCTGTGAGTCAAAATGAGACCATTGTCCGCACCTGGACGTACAAACATGGGGCCAGCGCTGGTACGTAGGGTGCGGGTACCCTGCCCAACCGAACAGCACTTCCAACATCAGTCTGCAGGGAACGGCACGTGCCGTGCCAGCCGCCGATGCTTTGCGGTACAGTCTATCATCCGCTTCTGTCTTGCGGTACAGCCTAACATTGCTTGCTGTGCTGCGGTACAGCCTAACATCCGTCGCCGCCGTGCTGTGGAATCCGCTGTTGCCAAGGGCCAACCCGCATCTTGGCGACGCCTTTTCAGGCTGGGTCCCCTGGGCAAGTTCTTGAACACCAATGAGATGATAGACATGGTGGACTCCACAATGCGGGACCGCACCAACGAGATCGCCACCATGCTGCGCGACACCATTGGGAAGAAGTCGGCGCCACTCGGGGTCAGTTTGACGGAATCTTGGGAAGAAGGCGGCACCACTCGGGGTCAGTTTGGCGGTATCTTGGGAAGAAGTCGGCACCACTCATGGTCAGTTTGGCGGTTTCTTGGGAAGAAGGCGGCACCGCTCGGGGTCAGTTTGGCAGCTCAGGCTGCTTTGATAGGGACGTTGCCAGGTGTGTGCATACTAAGCGGCCGAAGAACACGCAGCGTGCTGAGTGCAATGGCTCCATTCATTCAGATTTGGTCGGCCTTTTTCTGATGATAGGCTACACTTCTTGCCGATTTTTTCATCCATTTTCTGTGTCCACTAACTTTGGCACGTAACTGAGATAATCTCCCCACATGCCTGTTTATCACACTGCTGAACACGGATCATGTTCGACAGAGGCACCGCCAGCAGATTTCGTGCTCATCCCGCTCTTCTGCGGTCTTCCAGAACACATCATGTAAAAACAAACCAGACAAACTTAGACAGTGTTTAAGTCCTCGGCCAACAGTGCCGAACACCACGGGCCTGACGATTATGGCCTTGTTTCAGCAACGCTGTGACGTCTTCAAGCGGACCCAGAGGGGTGTCAACTTGACAGAGCTAATTAAGAGTGACGTCAACAAGATAGGTGAGCTGCAGTTGGATCGGACGGAATGAAACAGCTGTTGACGTTGCCTCCGAGTGTTTGGAACATTGCGATGAGTTACAGGAAAAGCGATGGGTTTTAGGCCAAACTTGAAGTGTACACGTATGTGTCGAGATCAGTTGTGTCTGGCTTAGACTGCTCTTTTCTTCAAAGAACTGCGGAATAGCAAATGGCTTTTACATTTGACATTTATAGTTTCGAGAAATTATTTCATCGGACTCCTTACCCACCACTACGAAAACGACGCTTTCTCCAATAGCATGGACTTCTGTTGATGTGGGATGAATTGAACATTACAAAAGCGATTAGTCAGCGGGAATAGAGGTGGGGCAGTCCTCTCCAACTTCTTGAGTACTGGCGTTCAGTCCGGTACTTGGCCAGTGACTGGCGCTAGAAATGAGAGAAACGACGCGATGCAGATCACTTTTCACGTATTCTATAGTATATCTGCCACTGCATCTAGCACCTTACCAGGATAACCCAGAAACTCAAGCCGAACCAGGACTCGTCAACACCAATGCCCATCAGTTCTTCAGCAATGCCAGAGGAAGAGGAAGGTCTCCGAGTCCATTTGCTTCGAAAAGACGGGTCCTGGTATACTACCCAAACATTGCCAAGGACGGTGGACGCCAGTACCAGCACAGACCCCTCGCCACCCCCCAGCTCTATCACCGCAGGTCGACTTGCCGAAGCCCTTCGCACGGGGCACCACGTAGGCTTTGCGGGGTGCATCTCTCTCAAGTCAGCCTAAGACGCAAGCTAACATGGGACGAAAGTAGGAATCATGTTCGTGTGTATCTAACCCGATGAGGTCAGAAGAGCGAAGAGCTGGGAAATGGAGCGCTTGTCGCGGCGCAAAAGCCATTGTAGTCCTCCATCGTGTCTTGCATCAGGCCTCGCAATTCCATGCAGCAGGCGTTCCAAGAAATAAGGATTCACGACATTCCCGCAACATGCTGGTCATGCGATGTTTGAACCACACCACTTACCAAACACGCAAAGGAATGCATTAAACAGGTCAGAGCAGATCCGGATCTGGCCTACATTCGACATGTTTTGCGTTGGTCGGTGCCCAGTGGCTGGCATGCCGATCCAGGAGATCTGTGCGCGCAGGGGGGAGGGGGAGGGGGGGGGGGGTAGCTGGGGGAAAGAAAGTAACGGGAGGCTGCGGAGTAGTCAGGAATTGTAGAGCCCAATTGGGTGGTAGAGGGTCTTTCCAGCCCCATTTTCCATTCGCATTTGACTCAGAATCTAATTGGGGTGCCTCGATTTATGTAAAAGAAGCCCTACGGCGGCATTAAATTGTCAAAAGTACTACAGGCCCGGTTTGCTACGCCACTGATGGGAGGAAAGGTAGAGAAAAGGTAGAAGGACAGGAAAGGTAGAGAAAAGATAGAAGGACAGGAAAGGTAGGGAAAAGGGTAAGGGCATGTGTTGGGCGCTGATAGCACTATGCTCTACCCGAAATTTGCACAAGTCGGGTGGAATCTGCTACGCCCACGAACATTTTACGGTGATATGATATCAGCAAGACCCCATCATGCAGACACGTCCTGCAACCGGTCAATGAGAAGCATCTTTCACCTAAGCAACCTCCTCGGTTCTTCCCGACACCCCGCATCAGGTTCCCGCTTCACCATGTTTGTTGACCTGTAGAACAGGGTTGATTACTTTGTTTATTTGTACTGCTCCATCCGTCGCTGATTTTGCCGTTTTGCACCAACATGAGTCACGTCAACAGCAGGGTACGTAAAGCTTTTCCAGCGGGAGTTCCTGTCCTTGTTTTCCTGTGGGTGCTCACTGCCCGGGCGAGCACGCCTTGCGACGTCTTATGACGGCATGCTCTTCCACACGGCAGTCAACGACGGTATGCTGAGCTGCGTGCCCGACATGTACCTGAAAAACTGGGCGGAAGACTCGAAGCTCACGTTCACCCAGCTGGCGCAGTCCAACTCCATGCTGACCTCGGGCAAGGTGCGAGGAGCCGCGGGGCACAGGCGCGCGCTGGTGGATCAGTGAGGCGTGACGACAGCATCAGCGCAGCGACGGCTTCGGGTCGACGCGAAAGGGCGAAGTGTGATGGTGCAGTGTGGTGGCGCGGGGGTACAACGCAACACCGCGGCGCGGTGGCCGTATTAGCGCAACAGGGGAGCAGGCACAGGCTGGCTGCTAGTTGCGGTGGTTGTAATCGGATGATTGTTGCGGTGGTTGTAATCGGATCGGGGCCCTGGTGATTGTGTCGTAAGGGACTTACTTTGGAGATGCACTTCTCCATATATCTTTAGAAGTGAGAGTGCTGTGGCAAGATGAGACAGCATTCGCCGCGCGACATGGCTCCCACTTGAAGTGAGTGCAAACGGGAGCAGGCGGAACAACGCAATGACGAGCATTTTGCCATAAATTTTCCTGTAGTCCCCAGTATGACACAGACATACCGGGAGGATAACATTCTGATGCACCCATTAAGGTCATGCGTGGACTGTAATCCGGCCGTGATCCGTGATCCGTGATCCGTGATCGGTCGTAATGGACCGTAATCCGGCGTGGACTGTAATCCGGCCCTGTGAGTGTCCGTCGAAGCCAAAGCAAACCAAAACAGCTAGCAAAACAACAACAAACAAAAAACCAAAACAGCTGACCTCGGCGTGATCTGGTGCAGATCAATGTCATGGCTCAAGCGGCGGTGAAGCAGTCCCAGTTCCAGAAGACCACGGGCGAGGTCGACATGCAGAAGCTGCCTGGTCGTCTGATGGGAGCTGTTCCCAGCAGCGCCATCACGAAGGCCAGCTGGTAAGCGGAGGACAGACTCGCCAACTCGCCGAGAGTGGTACAGAGTGGACTGGACGCAGTCAACGGGTGATCAGCGGGAGACGGGTGGTACAGAGTGGACTGGGCGCAGTCAACGGGTGCTTAGCGGGAGACGGGTGGTACAGAGTGGACTGGGAGCAGTCAACGGGTGGTCAGTGTGGATGATAAGTCATGGCCGCGGGTGAAGCCTGCAAGTAAAGGCAGCTACGGCCCAGGCTCTTTGCGTCACTCCAGCTTGCTCACTCGAAATGAGGCACTTGTTTCGCCTTACCCAGATCTGCTGAGTTGGGCTTTACAACAACAAAAAACACTATGCCAGCTGGAAATGCTTCGTGGGTGCGATGTGTAACGGCTGGATGAAAATCTCGTTATACTGTTCAGACAGCGCTGCAGGGCACAATCTGACGCGGTATGTTTTTATGTTTTCAGGAGTGAACTCTCCGGGCTTAAGCCCAAAATCAGGGCAGGAGAAATCATGTTTGACAGGTCTCAGAAAGCGCGGTTCGTGCGTAAGGTGAGTTACACTCATCGCCGTGTTGTTACAGGCAATTTACAACCAGTTGACAAAAATTTCTGATGCATTTTGCTGCAGCCTTTTTCAATATTTCCGATGTAATCTGCTTTTCCTCCCGTAAACGATTCAAAACGCTTCAAATTGTTATGCATGGGCCATTTTGGGTGCGAGTTAGTCGTGAATAACTGTTTTTGGCCGATCGTTTTTTAACGATTTCATAACGCGACACTTGGCTTTCGGTGTGACTGCAAAATACATACATATTGACCGATTTTGAGGTTTTAAGTTTATAGATACTCTTAATGTGAGCGAGACCTTTGCATTGCATACCGATAATATGGCTTTACATGTTAAGTGACCTGCTTTGTTGCGCGGGAAAGCAGAGCGGGAGTGATTATTTTCTGCACGATGCTAACTTTCCCCAGTAAGCAGATCCTGTAAACATAAATCAAAATTATGCAACTGTAAAGAAAATATTCAATCCCATGGTATTTCTATGCGAACCGCATTAATAGCACACATTACTGGATTTTGTCAATTGCAATAACCGAGTTCAAGTAACAGTCCTATTGTGGAACAATGGATAAAGCCGCTCAGGTCAGATCTGAGGAAGCCAAAACCGTGGGATATGGAGGCCGGCTTGCATTCACCACCGTTTCCTTGTTTTATTTAAAGGATCATGTGGGAAGATACAAACTTCATAGCCCTTGGGCCTATTTTCAAGATCCCATCGTTGAAATTCGGCATTTACTTCTATACAAAGACCAGCTAACCATGGCCTTGCATTGCATTTCGTGTTTTAGCTTTTGTTGTCATCGACGAAGTTTCCCTTAGGTGCTTGTCACTTATCTGCTTTGAATTTGCCACCGCGATCATGTGACAAGTCGTGGTATTGTGCTCTCTGGGTCGAGCCCCTTAGATGACATGAAGAATGTCTTCATTTTATAATTTACGCGGAAATCAATGCAGCAGAGGTGAAAGATACATAAGTTTTTGAATAGTGATACGATAGTGTTATTCTTAACAATGTGCTTTCCATAGCGCTCTTGCTTTTGAAATGAAAGCCTCCTCATTGTCATGCTGGTTTGTCTTTCATGCATGCATAGTTCTTCCCCGAGCGTTTCATGCATAAGCCTTTCCAAAATCGGCTACAATCCATTTTCCGACACCGTGGCTGCCTAGGGTTCGGTGAGGAGCGGTGGCCTGCCGACAGGCCCTCGACTGACCTCTGCCGCAGGGCCTGGGCGGTGAGACAACCGAGGCGTTCGTCACGGCCAATCTCGACCCTGCTTACTACGAGCTGATTCCAGTCGAGGAAATGAAGAAGCTGTCCTCGGCTTCGAAAAAGAATGGTAGGTACCGCCAATAACTTGGCTACCACGAACGGGTAAGCTGCTTTTTTGCCGTTACTGACCGGAAGTTTAAAAAGGCTGGGCTCACGATTGTCGGAGCTGAGCTAATTTTTTCCTAACAAATTTCGTTAGCTACAATTTCCATCAGTGTTGGCGATGAAAATGATCTTTTCAGTGTTATGCGCAAGACGCCTTGACTTCGGACTCACATAAGTATAAAAATACAAAATAGACCAAAAGGACGTCGCCATATTTCAAAGGTCAATCCTTCGTAGGGACTAAACACTGACATCCGAAATGAAGTCATATTATTTAGAAATAGTTTGTATTTTGTCGCTTACATTAGTCTGAAGTCAATGTGTTTTGTGTGATCAAATACGAATCGGCTCAGAGAAGGGCTATAACTTCCCAACGTCATGCCTAGCCAAGCAGTATAGCAACGGGGCTCAAAACAAAAGAGGAGTGACGGAGTAAATCCTGGGATTGTATCATAATTTTTAGTTCTGTACAATGCTGCCAAGACGCTGCTATGTTGTTTCTGGTGTACGCGGATGCGCTATTCCTGAGTGGTAGCAGCCTCAGCTGGCGTTGGTCTGTTTACTCCTGGATCGCCTTAGCAAGAGAGCGTGAATGATTCCGGCATTTTTGGAAACATTGCGTCTGAGAGAATGGCCAAATGCGTTGACGAAGATGGTTTTGTTGAGTGTTTCAACCTACTGGATTTACATTCCCTATTGGCTGAATTATAAACATGATTCCTCAGCCAGCATATGGGAGTGCTTTAACTCCTTCAGCCGATGATGAATGGGATAAGTTCGGGCAAGAAAAGATGCAGTACGAATTGATGGGCGTTGAGCCTTGAGAGAGGTAGATCCAGAAATGGCACACAATCGGTGGAAAATTGAACTGGAAGAAAGAAAAATCATGCGTTTTTCACCGTCCTGAGGAACCACATAGCCCCGTTGGCACCCGCCCATCCTGGATCCCCGTTGGACTCGGGCAATGCACGAGGCTGGATCCGAGCAAGGCTGATTCAATGCGACAGCGATTGCAACAAAGATTGCTTGGCACAAGGCGTGAGTTATTGCCAGGATACCATCGATATCAGTCCACGTGACGCGTGTTCAAAGGGGCCTATTGTATTTTCAACCCAGCGAAGCCGACCTGTGGGGCTTGCAGTAGCCCCACCACTATTTCAAGCTGCATGCCGTCTAGTTTTTTCTTAGCCACAAATTTAGTTTTCTATCGGAATTTGGGCACTGCAGCCGGCTTAAATTTTGCTTTTATTACTTTAAGCCTGCAGTCGCAAATGATGTGATCGGTGTGATCGGACACTGGGCGATCGATCGTCACTCGTAGAGCAAGACAAACGTATTTAATTAGAAATGACAGTTGACTTCGCTGCGTTCGCTAAGCAATTTTTCCGAAATCGCAAAAGGGAAAGGTGAATTACCTCGTTGGTGATGTGCTTCTTTGTCATGGTGCTAAGAAACTGGTCGTTAGCTAACCAGAAATGTTGCATTCAACGAATGTAGTGCCCCTTGCCAAACTTTCGTAGACATGGACGTAGCCAGAAGCTTCGAAATGCCCGAACCATTTGTAACCTCTCTTAGGTGTTGGTCCATAACATGTCTGCCAATGTGGAACATAACCATCATATCACCTGACCTGCATGTTAACGCGACTTCACACTTGCTACCTATTGCGACGCGCATGTCACTTTGACGCGGCAAAGGACGTGACTGTGACTGCGGCGAAGCAGTGACTGTGACTGTGGCGAAGCAGTGACTGTGACTGTGGCGAAGCAGTGACTGCCTGTCATCACGCGTCTGTTCGTGTTGGACAGCGGCGATGTACTCGGGACCGAACTCCCATCTGCGGATCATCAGCGCCGAGGCGCCCTCACCGGTCATACCGACAGCCATCACCAAGGAAAATGTGGAAGACCTTCTGCAGCCGGGGATGCCATTCTTCGACGCCGAAAAGCTGGCCAGCAGGTGGGGCGCTGGAGATCCGTCCGTTCCCAGACGCTAAGGAAAGGAATGTGACGATTTTTTGCAGGGATGATTTCAGAATCATGGGTCCTTGCTGGGAGCACCGCACTGCCAGTAGTGAGCCCAACACACGAATGTCAAATAAACGTACATTTTTTGCCAGAAACTCTCTACCGGATTCACCGTTTTTCATAGCGCGAACAGACTGGGGTTCGATGCGGCAGGCGATGTGGGACGCTGGGACATACTGCAACCCTTTTAATGACGGATGATTAAGTGAAAAAGGGTTATCCTGAGAAATGTCGTGATAAATGTCGTGGTTACAAAGCTGTGATGCCGGATCAATCATGGCCCCAACTAGGCTACGTCAAAGCTCGACTGCCCCCCCTCCCAAAAGACTTTGGGGGGCCATCGATTTATAGATATAATTATATACCAATATCTACCTAACTATCCCGCGTGACAGCATGAAACTAGTATATACATGCATTTCGCTTAAGAGTAAGTGCATTCATATGCAGGTTCATGCATTTTCAGCAGACATGGACGATGTAGGATAAGGGTTTTGTAAATGAAACAACGTCGTTTCCACCTACCCCCCTCTCCTCCGCCCTCGTGCTCATTGGATTCACGGGTTGCCGGTCGTCGTCCGTACTGGCCGCAGTTTTGTCGCGCAGCAGGAATCCCTAAGGAACGTTTTAACGCGAAGAACAGAAATGTTAGAGACGCGAACCTTAGTGCTCGAAATACGGCACGAATGCCTGAGAGGCCGCGCTAAAGGTGAGCGTGATTACACGACATTCCCAAGGAATGTTGTGGAAAATTTTCGGGGCCATATCGGCCCGTTCCCATCCAGAAAGGGTGCCATGTGCCATAACATGCCGCGTCATGGTACACCTGTCTCGTCATGGTTCTGTTGGCCGCTTGCCAAATAATTAATGGTCACGGGGCAATCACCCACGAGCGATAGTTGTGTGTAAAGATGCCTTTAGTTTTCTCTATGCTTACGCCCGTTTATGAGCAGCGTGTATATGCTATCAGGGCACCAGCAACTTGCACAGCTCACGATTGATCCCAATGATTTCACAAACTCCCAACATTGCCAACTACGTTCCGTCACTGGGCCGTCCGGCCGTGTCTGAGGGCTCAGCCTCATCAGCCGAGCGGCTGTCGTCGTCATCCGCACCACAGTCCGGCCGTGAGGTGACACGCTCTTCGGCCACCGCAGCATCTCTTCGGAGAACGCCCAGTCGACAATAGAAAAGCTGCAACAGGTCCTTGAAGCCAACGAAGAAGACCAGCTGGGCCTGGAAGGGCCATCGCGCAGAACGGTCAGTGGTGATCACTGTTGGCACCGCGTGCTCGCGCTTTGCGGACGGCGCTATGTTCTATTAAGGAGCCCATTGGTGTGGGGTGGTTTAAACAGCGATGTTTTCGAAATGGGAAAACGTTGTAGCTTGGGGGAAAATTTCCTCTGTGCTTCCCTGCCTTTTTTCCTGTTGTCAGACAAAATTTCACTGAATTAGGTTATGAGACAACGACCTCGCATCGGAACACAAGATAACGGGTCTTAGCGTCGGCATCTCTGGCTTTACGCTGGAAAAACAGCGTCAGTGCCATTTTTCATTTTTCAACTTAAAGTATATATGCATATATATATATGTATATATATATATATATATATATATATATATATATATATATATGTATATATATATATATACCTAACTAATAACTTACCCATAAACTTTGTCTTCTTCCATTTATACCCATTTGGAATGGCGCCAAAAAAGTTATTGACCGTCAGCGCCCGGTCAGAATCGAACCAGCCGCTTCAACCACCGGCCGCCTGTCCACTGGCTGGCCGCCTGTCCACAGTGCGCTGCTCTCAAGACCAGACTGGCCAACTACACGCAGATGTTGAGCGCCGATGCCGACAACGACACCTCAATCCTGAGCGCGCTGACGGAGTCCGACCTGCTTCGGCTGCCTGGATGCGTTCTCGGCCGGCTCCGGTGAGAGGACAGCCGCGCGCCGCCAGCCGCCGACACTCAGGTCGAAGCCCCGTAGGGCTGGCGGCCGATTTGCGCTTTATGGTCTCGTCCAGCAGACTGTTGACGTATGTTGCGCACCTGCAGCTGGCGGAGTATTCAGCCAGCCGCAGGTGCTGGACTCCGCGTCCAGCTACAATACCTTTGGTTAGGGGAAAGGGCCTCTCCATTGGGGGGCGGGGGGGGGGGGGGCATACTCTTGTCCCTAGCAACTGCCCTCTCTACCCCCTGCCGCGCCTCGTGTCTCATTGTCGGTGGATCGCGCGGAGCCCCGGGACTCGAGCCGAGCGGGAGTGCTGAAGTGCGATTCATGCAGCATCTGGGCACCACGCAAGGCTTCCGGCTGTTTTTTTTTAGAGCTGGCACCGTGAAGGACAAGGCGAATATGAAGCAAAAGAAGGCGATCCTCTACAGCCTGGGGAAAACCAAGCCCCTCCAACTGAAGCTGATTCCGAAAAAAAAATTGCCACGGGCTCGTACGCGAGGGACTGAAAGCGATGGTAAGTGAATCTACTTCAGAACATTCGAAACAGACCATGAAATTAAACGGACCGCATAGCACTTCATATTTATCAAACAAGCGGATCAAATTAGTTTGCAGTGCTATAGTGTGTGTAAGCTATTAGTGTAAATCAAGCTAATCGTATCGCTGATAAGGCGTTCATCCTGAACAGGTATGTCCGACTCCGAATCTTTGCTTCACCAACGCCATTTCGACAGAAACCCACCGGCAATCTCACGCTGGACGAAGTGGAGGCGGTCGGCAACGCTGGGGCCTGCTTGGATCCCGATGGCATTAGACGGCTGGACAGAGCCGCCTTCGAAGTCATGCTCCCAAAATTCAAGGCATGTGGGCAGGGAACGGGTTTGTGTCCACGTCTAATGTTCTCGCACCACGGCTCGCAAGACCTGGAGATATCTAGGAGAAATCTAGAGAGACCTGGAGATATCTAGGAGAAATCGACGTCACTTTAACTGGACAGCGCATGCAGGACATTGCGGAAGCATGACATCAACGCCGCGTTGAAGCACTGCTTAAAGTTGCTGATAGCATGGTGTCGACATATTGCCTCCTTCCGGACTGAATGTAAAGCCGTTTATTTCATGTCTCTACACTTTGAATGTCATCTCTGGACGTTCTGCCCGTGCTGTTGACAAGCCGGCGTTTTGGCTCAGTGGTACATCAGTGACAATATTGTGTTTTTCCCCCAGGGGGAGTGCGTCGATAAGGGTCAGATGGACGCGATCCAGAGTCAAATCATTCGCTTCAACGGGTAAGCAGGCCAGCTGACGATTTATTAGCCTCATTAATTAAACTATCGTGCTCAGGTGACCTCCCCAGTCATCACCGGGGTGCTGCAAGCACTATCGCCGACTCCATCCCCAACCCCGACCCTGACCCCGAACCTGACCCCGAACCTGACCCCGAACCTGACCTCGACCCCGACCTTCCGGCGAGTCTGTCGGATCTCTCTTCGCGAGATTGCAGATTGCGAAGCTACGTTTAATTATAAAGAGCTATGATTACGACAGCCATGTTACAAGTGTTTGGCCACACGCAGGCATGCTTTTGCCATCCGCTTCTGATCACCACCTGGCGGCGGCTTCTGCCTGGGGGTGAGGTTGGGAGATGACAATAGTAGTTGTAGGTACCATGCGTCGGTAATCATACTTACCATTGAGAGAGTTGGATGGTTTTCTACCCACCACCTTGTTTGACCCGGTCGGTCATGCTTTAGATGACTCCAACACAGCCTGTGATTTGCATGCGCTTCGAGTGCGTCTTTGACCCCTTGACCTCTGGCATCTGCAGCTGTGTGCTCTTTGAGCTACCGATATCGTGACAATCATCTCTGGCGTCTGAACTGTTCAGCCCTAACTTCTGTGACCCATGACTCGTGATGAGTAGCCACCGGACCTATGTGCCGAGAGAGAACATCTTGCATTTCAATCATATCTCGAACTTACATGGCACTTATGGTGTATACGATCCCTAATTTTGCTGGTCTTCTTTGCCTGCCTATTGTACTTTGGCATTGTCCTGATTTTGCTTTGTTCTGCCTTGCCTTGCCTTTGCCCTGTCACTTCTGAGGGTCACGTGGACCCAGCTTATGATATTTACATCACTTCAGTGACCTGCACGTTGCATGCGCAGTACAGTGCCTGAAGCATCATCTAACCGGTGTGACCTATGACCTAACTTAGCTACCCTAATCTAAGCTACCCTAGCTTGACCTAACTGTGACCAGTGTGTCACCTATGTGTGATAAGAATCCTGCCGACCGGCTCAGTCTGACCTCTACAACCACTCCGACCTCTGCGACCCCCGCCACCTCTGTGTGATAGGGATCGTGCCGATGGGCTCAGCCTGACCTCTATGACCCCTTTGACCTCCGCGTCCCCGGGAACCGGCCGGCTGGTTTAGTGCGGACTGCGACGTTGGTCGCCCGTGCGTTCTGCGTCACAGCAAAACGAGGGCGTGCCTTCAGTCTGGACAATAGCCTCTGCCGTATTTTGTTTGCCCCTGCGTGGGAACAGGATGGCGGGCCGATTCATTCCGGACTGACCCAATCAGTCCCTTAACACGCGCTCGGGTGGAGGGGGTCAAATTGACCCCCCCCCGAAAGGTTTCTCCAGAATGGTTTCCGAACGGCATGGCGTAGCCGCGCCAAATTTGCATAGCTGTAGACAATTGAATAGCTGATCTTTGACATAAGAATATGTACCTTGTAAGGTTGGTGACCTATGGCAGGTCAAGGATGTTGAATGAGCAAATTACGCTGACCTAAGTCCAGGTATGAAAGTCAGACCAAGGTCAAAACCAACCTGACTTATTATTCCAGGGCTTGCTGTATGGGATAGTTTGTGGTGCTCATTTCGAATTTATTGACAGCAGGAACCGCGTTATGCATTTTCCATTGACTTTTTAGACGTCAGAACAGGTCATTGACCTAAGACGACCCAGGTCGACATTTTGTTTTAGGAACATACTGCCTAGCGTAATCCTTGTCGCTTATTCAAATGCAAAACTCAGGGCAGTCTTGCATGGTTTTAGTCACCATGACCTTCGAAAGTCAAACAAGGTCACTGACCTCAAATGGGCTTGTGGACTTGTTCTTAGAAACAGTTGCCCTAGGTTCTGGAGGCACTTAGAAACCAACCTGGAATTTGACCTTGTTTGACCTTATTTGGCCTGAAGACCATGACCTAAGAAGCTCAAACTTTGACTAAAGTGAGTTCATATGCATGTCAAGACACCCTGCAAATTTGGTATTTCTAGCTCTCTTAGTTCCCGAGATCTCAATGGGGTCAAACTGACCCCACCCGAGCGAAGGGTGTCCTAGCCGGCCTCCCGGGTGCGTGTTAAAAGTCATGCGTCTCAGGAAGCCAGCCAACTAATCCCCGTCGACTGTACCCCTAAGGAACGACCAACACTGCGGCCTGGACTGGACGCAACCAGGTTGCCGCTACTCTGTACCCTATAGGACTCCTCCTCCTGTGGGATGGCCAGCACTTTGGCCTGGACTGTTCGCAGCCAGGTTGCCCGCGACTTTGCACTCTGTAGGGCTCCTCCGTCACAGTCCGCCGGCCGGCTGGATCCGCGTGCACCGCGCCCGCCGTGACCCCTGACCCGTGACCCCTGCGACCTCTGCCTCGCAGAGAGCCGGCCGGGTGGTTCAGTCTGCAGCCATTCTGCGATGTGCTGGGTCTGCTGGACGACGCCAAGCTGCGAGAGATACCGGAGACGCGCATCGTCGCCGAGTGCGGCGCCGGCTCCAGTGAGGACGACAGCCTGGCCGACAGCATGGTCCGCTACGTCCAAATGGTCCAGGTCAGTGACTCACGGCGGCTGGAGTGTGCTCGAGTCAGAGATCCCCGTAGTTTTGGAGTCCGCAACAGATGTAGAGATTCCACCAGTGTGGTAGCCAGGCCCCTTGTAGGCAAGGGGCCTCTTCGACGTGAAAGGGGTTCTGTTTTAGACTTCGGATGAATTTTTACGCCCAGAATTCTACGTTGGTGCCTGGGAGATATATTTTGTGTTCAAGAAAGCTCTACCTTCAACTGCAAAAAAAGGTCCTGTGATCCTCAGGCTCTAGCGCTGCCACTTCTTCCAAGGGGAGGGAGATGATGCTAAAAAACTCTCCCTGGCCGCACCACCGGATTACCACTGGAAATTCTGGACCGGTCGGGGGGAGGGGGGGGGCGATCTGCCACCGCAGAGTCCGTCCAGGCCTGGGACCTCGCAGCGACCTCAAGCCACTCTTATGATGAACACTCGTCGAATCTGAAGGCGCTGGGAACATATTGCTGCTTCCTCCTGGTGAGCGTGCGTCCACCAGGCCACTGACGATCTCTCTCCCCCCGCTGCCGTAGCTGAACTGCAAGCGGCAGATCGGGGCCAGTGACTTCGATCAGCTGAACGAGCGGCTGGCGAACGTGGGTCGCCGCCGGGCCCGCGGCGTGATGATGGCACAGAAGGAGATGGAGGACTCGCTCAACGCGGACGTCAGTGCCAGCTCCAGCGCCAGTGCCAGTGGCAGTGGCAGTGGCAGTGGCAGTGCCAGCGCCAGTGCCAGTGCCAGCGCCAGCGCCTCAACAACAGCCAGGTAGGTCAGGCGGCGGCAATCCGACTCCGAGTCAGTGGCGTTCTGTGAGGGCAAGGCGGTGGCCAGGTCACCCCGAGTCAAAGTCAGGCGGGCCTGGCCAGTCCGAGCCGGTCCGAAGCACACGGAGCCAGTCGGTAGGGGGTGCACAGGGTGTTCGTAAGGGGGTGGCAACCCTGCTCTGCACCCCAATAGATCCGTCGCTGGGCGACAAGAATCCCCAAGATCATGACTGACTTACTGCTGCAGCTGCTGTTGGCCTTCTAGGGAGCACCAGTTGTAAAGCCATCCCATGTGTTTTGAGGCCTCGTGGTTAGCACGCTGCTACTTGACACGGTGACCAATGATAAGTTAGTGCTATGAAGAATTAGTCAGTCAGTCAAAGCAAGTTCAGCCAGTTAGGGTAAGTCAAGGGCAGCCAGACTAAGCCAGGTGGAACCAGCCAATCGGTCAGAATTCTGAGAGGGCCGACGCATGAACTGGTGCGAACCTCTCACGCCATGACGACCGTTGCGGCCTCCGGGGGAGATAACTTTGACACGCCTGCGGCACCACATGTCGAGTCAGCACAACTCCATGACCTTCACACGTCTTCGCCCAGCCGTCCAGCAATCGGCCGGCCTCTGATGCCCGCAGGCGACGACGAGCGGCCGAGCCGCCGCTGACCTGCGCAGCCGTGATGGAGAAGGGCAGCGGCGCCGAACCGTGGTCTGTCTCACAGCTGTCGGACATGGCGGCCGAAGAGGTCAAGGAGTGCCAGCCCAGCTGGGCTCGGTCATGGCCGACGAGGACAGCTGAAGGTGGTGTGGGATGAGCTCAAAGAGGTATGGCTCGCGCGGTCTGCCCTGAGTGGGCGGGTGAGCTGAAACGAATGACGGTGTTTGCTAGGTTTTTGCCGACCCAATTAATCGCTTAAACCACGAGTGGTGCAGCCTGCTGCCGTTCGGTCGTGTTCGGATGCGCATGAGTCCCGCAATGTGCTGTTCTTGAGCCTGTGCGCTGTGGGCTGTGAGCTGGTGAGCCAGTGAGCCGTGAGCCGGTGAGTTGTGAGCGGGAGAGGCGTGAGCTGTGAGCTTTGAGGCATGATCTGTGAGCCGTCATCCGTGAGCTGTGATCCGCGAGCTATGAGCTTTGAATTGTGAGCTATGTAAGCCGTGGACTGTGAGCTTTAGACGTGAGCTGTGAGCCGTCATCTGTAAGCTGTGAGCTATGGGCTATGGGCTGTGAGCTGTGGGTTGTGAGCCTGTGAGCTGCGAGCTGTGAGCCGGTGAGCTGTGAGCCGGTAAGCCGCGGGCTGTGAGCTGTGAGCTGTGAGCCGGTAAGCCGCGGGCTACTCGGTGAGCCGGTGCCGTCTGCGTGCTAGCTTGCCCGGTCGTTGCCGCTGTGACGCTAACAATGCAGAGCACACATTCGTGAAAGGACGGGCGCCGCTCAGATCGCTGGACGCACGTACGGCGGTGGCGGGCGTGGCTTGTGGGCGTGGCTGGCGTGGAAACGCATGCTGGCGACATTGCAGGCGTACAGCGGGGCCGACAAAGTACCGATGAGCATGATCGGGTACGTGGGCTCCGTCATCCCCAGCGCCGACATCGCGATGCTCGACCTCACCACCGAAGATGCCGTTTTTGAGTTGGGAATGCCTATGAAGATGACGGAAGCGCAGGTAAGCTTGTTGTCCTGATTTTTTACGTGTCTCTCAGCTTGGTGGGGTGGGGGGGGGGGGGGGCGACATCTACTCGGGATGCGGCATATTCCCTGCGTAGTATTTGCTGTCCGTGCACAAGCCTTTCTACTTGCCGCTGGAAATGAACAACACCACGCTTGCCCATACAATCGTCATGTTGGAGCCAACGAATCTTAGCCGTGCGGGATGCGTGTCGTGGCGGATGACTTCCACGAGCTCCCTGGTTATCCTCCACGGCCGCGACGCCGAGCACGGCGCACCCTTCCGCCGCGTGGCGCCACTCGCCTCACCCGCCCCGCTCGCTGGCAGCTGGATGCACTGGCGACCCGGGCGAAGGCCCAGTGGAGTGTGCTGTCTGGCAGCGCGGCTGACTACACGGCGGACACCGTGGGCACTCTGGGCCAGATCATCTGCGGCATGGCCCCGGCCGACGTGGAGAGCATCCCGGCGGCGCGCTTCAAGTGAGACGCCGTGCAGCACGGCCCAGTCTAAAATATGGATAAATAAGCTACTTATATGCTATAGCATGCGCTATGTAAATACTTGGCACGGTGCGCAGATGTGCTAAGCGGCTGCTGAGATCATCTTTGTTTCATTTCGCGTCATGCAGGCGGTGTTCTCCTTCGACACAAAGATGGCCGATTTTCGCCTCTCGCACTGCAGTGCTAGAGCTCCCTGTAGCTAAGCCGCGGCTAGCAGGCGATGTTGCCCTGGGACTGTCAAGGTGACCGGCCTTGCCCTCACGGCACCGGGCCGCAGCTCACGCACTCTGTCCCCGCTGTGACCTGTGACGCGACACCGATTCTGCGCGGCAGGGAGGCCATGACGGTGCTCTCCGAGGTCTACTGGTGCAAACAAGCCGTCGCCGAGAAGTTGGCCGATAAAGCCGTCGCCATCTACGGCGAACCATCCACCTGGGGGATGAGTGAGGTGGGGCTGTGGCCTCAGGCCGCGTCTAGGAACGGGGTGAAGTGGAAGAGCGGGGGGGGGGGGGGGCTCTAGGCTGGGGCGCAGCGCGGGGACCTGGGTTCTGAACGCGGCTATGGCGCCAGCGAGCCAGCTCTGCCCACCGCCGATGATTTTCTGACACGCGCCATCTATGATCGTAATTGTCTTTTCTTGTGACGTGAACGTCATCGGCTCGTAGCAAGGAAAGGCGTTGCGCATTGCGAGCAGCATATGTAAAGCAAGGTGACCTTGGTAAGCGATTCTCATTGGCCAGGGTGGCTGGCGTGGGAGCGGTGATTGGCGGGCTGGAGGCGATTGAAGCTGAAAAGCATCAAGGACGAAGTCGATGCGAGGACTGAGCGCCGATGGCATGATGAGCATCCCGCCCAGCAAGATCGCGGTACGACCTCACGTCTGCTCCCTCACGCGCTGTGGAGGTCCCCCCCCCCCTCCGGACATGTCCTGGCATGTCTTTCACGCAGCCGTGCGCAGAATTTCACTCGTGATTACGCGTTCGTCCGTCCCTCCTTCCCTCCCCCCTCCCCTTCGTCTAGCCCTGGGCCGAACGGCCCCCTCCAACACACTCGTGACGAAAATGTGTTGAACGATGATGGTGACGTTCACCTGGTTTCAGCGCCGGAAGGCACTGCGATCACCAGTCGCTTACGCTGTGACGTCACCCAACGTCACAGCTGCTGACGGGGTGACGTCACGTCCGCAGGGGCTGACGAAGGCTCAGGTGCTTGAGCTGTCCACGGAGGCGGCGCTCGCGATAAGTGACGAACAGATGGAGAAGCTGCCGGATGACGCGAAGGAGGCACTGCTCATGGTTTTCGAGGAAAACTTGAAGTCCAGGAGCGCTCGCTCAGGTAGGCGGCAGGTCCGGCGCTGACGGAGTCGTCCTTGGACAGGCTATGGGCTGGGCTGGGCTGGGCCATCGCAGTCTTATATGCTGCGTGTCGTAGTTCGTAGGTACAGCGCAATGATGTATTCACTGTATCTCGACGACAGTGACGTCGAAAAGCGAAAAATCTATGATGCCAGCAAACAGCCAGCAACGAGCAGCTTCAGTATCGTGCACGACCTGCTTTCGGATGTGTGATTTTAGACTGGTCATGGTGGCTGAGGCTCGCACTTCTAACGGCCCGTCGTGTTTCAGCGGCGGCTGGGCTCTCTCTGCTCCTGCTGGGCGTTTTCGCCGCCCGTCTGGCTTAAAGCCGGGCGGAGCGACCGGCGCGCAGCCAGCCGACGCCGGCACCCGCCGACAGAGCTTCGGTCGTCGACCGCCGCGGCCGGCGGCGCTAGCGTCGCGCCTGGAAGCCGGCGCAAGCACGCTGGCTTCCAGGCTGCTGCCGGAGGAGGCTGAGTGTGCGGGGCAGCCGCTGCAAGCATGCTGCTAGCTTGATTTTCGGGATCTCTGAGCGCGCAAGAACAATGAGGAGAACGTTTGAGCGTGCCGATGGCCCGGATAGGGTTTTGGGCTCTGCAATCTGCAGCGGTCAGCGTATCCGCTAGCACGTAGACCCAAGGCTTTCTGGCCGATTGTTGTGATAGGGCCGGATATGCCAAGGTTGTTGGGCAAAGCCAGCCGTTTTCTGTGTGCTGCTTCTGCTCCAGATGTCCCTTACGTCACGGGATCTGGTTCAGACTTCTGTACCAGTGTGTGGAGCTCTTATTTTTCCCATACCCGTGCTTCATGTGCAACGTCTCTGGCGTGGAAACTAACCCTTGAAAAGACCGGCTTTTCGGCTTGAGTCTGACTTTTTGGCCGCCAGATGCCACGGTTACATCGGGCGAGGCCATTGCGACGGCAGAGGCTCCGGGGGACGCCTGTGCTGTGCGCCCGCCTGTGTCGTTAACGGACGCGTTAGCTGCGTTTGCCGTGTCGCGATTGTGCCTGTCGTTAACTGTCGCGCGCCGCACGCCGCCGTGCCCGCTCGCCTCGGGGCACGGGGACCCTGCCTGTGGCCAGCGCTCCGCCCCACCCCTACGGCGACCCCCGCGGCCCCCGGCGGGTCCCCATCCGGACGGGGCGCTGGTCTCGGCAGCGCTGACCAGCTCTCGGAGCGCTGGTCTCGGAGTCGGATCAACAGCACGCTCGCGCGCCACCCGCCGGTGCCTGCCAAGACACCTTTCAAACCGGTTTTCATCAAGCGGCCGCCTCTTTTGAACGTGTCGGAGGCTCCAGAGTACGGTATCGGGCGTCTCCTGCGCTGAACTTTGCTGCCTT